CACATTCTGCCCCCCATACACACACACTGCAACTGTTACACATACACTGCATCCCTGACATACACTGCCGCCCTCACTCACACACTACAACCTTCACACACACACTGCACCCCTTACACATTGCACCACTCACACACCACTGCTCCTATGCCCTACTACAGCCCCATTTCCCAGCAGATCTCAGGTAAGTTGTCAAACTGTTCTTAAACGGTTTGACTACTTACTGTGGGAGGGGGTCCCAGCACTATTGACACCATAACCACTACACTGAGCTGTAGTGGTTATTGTGTCTGGATTATTTCTTTAAATAATCTACAAGTGCCCCTCCCGATGATCAGGCTCTGGATCCGCTACTGCTCTGAAGACAACTTGCCACAAACCGGCATGGGCTGAAAGGGACTGAATGCAGATATGCAGCACTCCTTAACTCTCTCCTTTCATTTTCTTTTATTTCTTAATTTTTGAGAAACGTTATACTTTTAAGTGTTGTCCTTAATGACCTACTGTTATGCTTATTATGATGCATTGTCTCCACATTATGCAATTTATCATATAATCCAGACTGCTACCCATCTGATGACTTAACTTCAGGCACATTAGACCGACCTGCTAATTGAGCATAGCGTACCTTACCCTGACCTGGCCCACGACAGTTGCCTAGCCTGATAGCTCTAATCTAGCTTGTGTCAGAGCAAACTAGCAAATAGTAATATAGGACCGACCCAGTGTAGCCTTGTCTCACTAAGCACAGTGTCTTGTTAAACGCACGTATTACAAACTGACTTCTCTGTGGATACTTCATGCTCGACTATTACTCATATGTAACGGCACCTACTGGTTTAACCTGCGTAGTATTACACTGTTGAAATGAACATACCAAAAAAAAAGAGGCCGTTATCAATGGAAGTTCATGCAATGTTCTCGCTAATTGTTATGCACAACGCATGTTTTTTCATGCATTAACTCATTGCTTTATTTTCTGTACTGACTCAGCATATGCCTCAATAAAAACACAGATTAAATGCAAAAATGGCTTGTGTCCTTAAGCGTAAAACATGCTTCTGGGGTTAATATATACAGAGGAGAAATAGTTATTTAAAATTTCTGCCTTTTCCTGGTCTTCATTAAGGAACACCCCATCCCAGTTTTTAGTGTACCTACACTTTCATTTTTTTTTTAGAATTTATGTAATTAAAAAATGCTTTGGGGTTGGTTTTGCTGTCTTTGGCTACCATTTTGAAGTTTAGCGAATCTAATCGCTATTTTGCACACATTATTGGCTTCCTTATATCTTTTATAAGATGCCTCTGATTTGTCTGATTTAAATGCTTCTAAATGCCCTTTTATTATTTTTAATCTCTTGTTTTACTTCTCTACTAATAGAAGGATCCAGCAAAGCTTACTGGCTGTTTGATTGACTGGGGGTATTCAAAAGATTTACAAACTGGGGTTATATTCTCACTTATAAAGCACATCAGCTTGCTTTTGGGGTGTGGAATAAGCAAATTCCCGTTATTTTCTCTGCAAATAAATAGCACAGATCAGGGAATCTTCCAAGTTTCAATTTATCCATGAGCACAAATAAAAAGGCAGCAGGAAATCCCATTACCCTAAGCCAGCTCATTAAATGCTATTGTCAGGATTACTGTTGATCCAGCATGCAGAAATAGTATCACACCTAGGACTAAGGATAACGTATAACCAGACCTTTAGAATGGCCAGACTTAACAAATCCAAGAATAGTCAAAATACTTGCCGAGGTCAGGGATGTAGAACGAGACACAACGATGAGGGAAAGCCAAACATCAAGGATACCAGAAACCAGGGAAGTCAAACCCAGAAATACTACGATCAGGAACACTCTCTCGGATAACCAGCTAAGGGAAACCACGACAAGGCACTGATCAAAAGGTAATTTGGGTTTAACCCCTTAAGGACCAAACTTCTGGAATAAAACGGAATCATGACATGTCACACATGTCATGTGTCCTTAAGAGGTTAAATAACTTTCTTAAAGCTGTAATTGGCTGTTATGTGGCCTCTGACCCCCAAAAAGTGCATGCACGTCTATGACGTGACGTCGCACGCACGTGCCATCTTTGACGTGGACGAATGTGTCAGGATTACAAATTGATCCAGCATGCAGTACTGTGTCACACCTAGGACTAAGGATAACATATAATCGGACCTTAGAATGGCCGGACTTAACGTCTCCAAGAATACTTGCAGAGGTCAGGGACACAGAATCAGAAACAAAGATGAGGGAAAGCCAAAAGTCAAGGATACCAGATATCAGGGAAGTCAAAACAAAGCAAAAGTCAAATACCAGAAAATCAAGTTCAGGAATGCACTCTCGGATAACCATAGGCATAAAACCACGACAGGGCAATGAGCAAGAGGAGAATTGGGTTTGAATATCCCTCTTGTGGATCCGATTGGCTGTAACCGGCCTCTGACCCCAAAGGCAATTACCAGGTTTCCATGTGCGTGATTGCTGCTCATGCACAAACCCTCCTGTGGATTTGATTGGCCATGACTGGCCTTTGACCCCCCCCAAAAAAATTACCAGATTTCCATGTGCATGATTGCTGCTCGGCACAACTTTTCCTGTCATGACAGTAAATGCCATTAACCATATTTTATGTGCGGATGAATACGTGACAGGAAAGGTTTCCTATAAAAGCCCGGTCCGCTTCTAGGAACGTCGCACCCGCTGGGGACCGGGAAGGAGGGAGACCGGATAACTGCCCGTCGAGGTAAGTTAAAAGTATTTCTGACGGCGTGGCTCCTCTGAGTGCAGCGACACGGTCAGAAATGCCAGGAGCCATGATAACTATAGAAAAAGTTTACTTTCCCGGGGGATTGAGTCAACTCACAGGAGATCTCTGCATCTCCAAAACCTATGGTGTTGGTTGCTTGATACAAGGTATGAGGCCATATTCCTGTGCCCTTAGGGCCGTATTTCCACATGGGCACCCTGGCACCCACAAGCAAAGGGACCCCACAGCATTGCCCATGTACCCAGGCTGATAGGGGAGATCCTTTGATCTGCCCAAAGGCCCTTCTTAGTGACAGGGAGGGAGAACCCGGGGGGGCGGGAGCACCCAGAGCTGCAGGAGAGGGAGGACCTGGCCGATGGTTCCAACCACGAGTATTCTGGTCAAAACATTGTTGCGGCAACACTCCGACACAGCATTCTGCTTGCGGGAGGAGTGAGACAGCCTGCAGCCAGAGGAGCTGCAGGTTCTAGATCTACTACTCAAACCGGACCACCAGGGGGTGTAATGTCCCCCCATCATTCACCCAAGGTAAGGGTGGTGGGGGGGGGAGGAGAGGGCATGAAGCTTTTTTTAAAACGGAGTTTAAATAAAAATCCCTTATCCCTATGCATCCTTCCTCACACTGCACCCCTCTCACACACACTGCACCTCTCACTGCTGTCTGTTTGTGTATATTCAACAGTCTGTGTTTGTGTTCTGCAGTCTGTAAGTGCATTAAGCAGATTGTGTATGCATTCAGCTGTCTTTGTGTATGTATTCAGCAGCCTGTGTGTGTTTTCCAGGGTAGGGCTTGCAAATGCTTCATAAGAGAGATCTGTCACAGCTCCGTCAGCCACAGCTTTCTCTTGCTATCATCTTGATCTTCTACCAGGATCCAAACAGAGTGATTATATCCTTTATCTAGTGTATTACCTTTACACCCAGACATCAGCCCGAAGCTTGTTGCAGAGCAATGCAGTTCCACCCAAGAACAAGTTGAGACGTGGTTAAAGGTGACCGTAGTACTGACTTTATTGTAGACACAACCACATATGACAGAAAGACACTTAACACCTATTTAATGGCCATACAAACACATACACATTACAAAGTACCATACAATAACTAAAACAAACATGGCACCGGATACAATGCCCTCCCAAACAAATTGTTTATTCACCCAGTAGGAGATTCCCAGTGAACAGAGGTCCACACAATAAGACAATCAGGCGTCTTCCTGTCCCAAGAAATCCAGCTAATTGTCATTTACTGCTCTAAGTCTGGGCATTGGAGTATTTAGGCCACACAAAGTCCCAATGGCCGACTTAGCCTTAGGGTCTGCTTGGGCGGCCCAGGCTGGAATTTCTGTTCACCATGTACCCCAAATAAGCACAGCGTGACATACACAAGAGAGGGCAAATAAACCAGAAACTCTGTCTTCCTCATATGACTCCCCAGACTCACACCTCCCAAACCACAACCTACCCCCAAACAGATTCTGATTCAGGTGTGCCCAAAAGTAGCAGATCCATGGAAAGGATTGGGTGACCGTGTCTGACCCAGGTGTTCCCTTCCACTCAGCCTTCCCAATGGTGATC